AAGTTAGAATTTCAACAGATGAGTTTGGGGGAAAACAAACATTGAAACCATAGCAGATGGTCCATGGCATTGAGATTCCTGGATTCAGTATAGCAGAGTACCACTAGCAACTTCTCACCACTGCTGAACCGAAATAGCTTTCTTCCTGTGTGTGGACAACTCTAAATTGTATAGCTATGATTTAATTGGGCCTATACAAGGAAATTAACCATACATGAAGTATCAGACTTTATCCCACTCATCAGAAGTAAGTACTTTAAAAAAAAAAAAATTCTGGCAATTAAAATACCGCAAAGTTAATTGTTTTCTCCAACTTCCCAAGCAGCCAGAACTGTCTCACTTGTTAAGCAAAAGGAAACCACTGGTTCCCATTTCACAAGTAAGTGCTACATGGAGCAACAGGACATGTGGCACTGTGACACTCTCCTCATGGCTATGCTGTAAACTCTGCCTGGGAAGACAGGACCCCACATGTACAATCAGCAGGGGACATTTGCCACACATACTGTAAGTGTGCAATAGGGTTCCTTCATCCCTCTCTCTGTTGCCCTCCCTCAACCCTCAGGACCCACACAGGTATACTATGTCCAACAATCAACACCTCAGGTCCTGTAGTCACAGCCTGACCCTGATGCTTGCCCTCTATGACAACATAGAAAGTGTTCAGCCTATGCACCACTTCTGTGAGCTCACTGATTGTGAATCATCCATTTCTGCATCCTCAATACTGGGTGTTTTGCCTTGTAAAGAAGAAATTTTGGTTTAGTAAACATCTGTTTTATTTAACAAGTATCATTGAGTATCCTCTGTATGCCCCAGTCTTAGAATACAGGTAATAAAATTATTGCAAATATCCAGGGTTCTATATGTTGACATTCTAATCCAATTTCTATTACTAAGTCAATTAATAAGCAAAGGAGTGCTCACTGTGGTAGTCAGCTTTTCATTGCTGTGACCAAAGTATCTGACGATGACAACGGAGAGGAGGAAACATTTATTTTGGCTCAGGGTTTCAGAATTTTCAGTCCATAGTCAGTTGACTCCTATTCCTATATTAACACAGGAGCTTTGTGGGGGAACATCTCACATCCAAATCCTAACAATCTCAGTTTACATTTTGAAAAAACCCAAAATTGCAACAGGTGGAAATGAGATGCACAGGGCTGGCAGGAGCTCCTTCCAATGGAGTCTTTGAAGGATGCCTCTCAGAGCAAGCAGAGTCTCTACTGAGACCTGAACAGCGAGAAGGGGACAGAGAAGCAAGAGATAACAAAGGGTTTTCCTAGCAGTTTTCAGCTTGGGATGATTTGGAAACAACAAGAGCATGTGTGTCCTTGATCTGAGACTTGAATTGGACTGTGGAAGGAGGAGATGTATTACGGTCAGAAGGATCTGCACCTGCCGGGTTTGAGACAGTTGGGAGAAGTCTGGATCTTCAAGGAAATGGAGAGCTGTAAAGTTAACAAGGAAAGAATGTGAGCTCCTTTGGGTTTTATAAAGAACACATTGGACATAGCATATTAGAATTGAGAATGTTGACGTGGATGGATATTTCTGAATTGATTTTAAGCCTGACAATGTTGAGTTCTTTCATAGGCATTTTGACCAATGCTGGTGAACGCATTATCATGTGTTGAAATTTCAAGACTAAGACCCCTTTCCCACCATAGTAGGAAACTAAATTCAGGGAGAGCCACTGTGTGACAATAAAGCAGATACTTGAACCTGAGCAAGGAACTGCTGAGCAGTGATGCTAAAGGAAACACATAAAGTGACCAAGGGGTCTAATGAGATTTCAGGATCAAAAACCATCATCTGTATATTTTCAGTGGGGTCGGGGGAGGCACTTTATAGCTGGCCCATTTCCCCTACTACTTCTATTGAAGTTCTATCCTTAGAGTGGATTTACATCTGTCCCCCAATGCCACGGTTCAGGTTGTGTTGGCCTTTTCATTATAAGCCATGTTTACCAAAGGTTTACAACTTGGCTGTAAAAACCAGTTGGCACCGAGACTGGAAACTTGGCATGAACAGTTTGGTATAAACATTGCCCGGAAGCAGTTTTTCTATCTAAATCTGAGAAAAACAGGCTAGGTCATTTTCAAGTTATTTGTGTTCTTCATGCATAAATAAAATGAAGCCTGACAGCTTCAAACAGTTGTTTGCTTTTGCACTCCTTAAAAATAGATTTGATCCAAGAAAAGTAACATTTGGTAAACAAATATTCCATGACGGGCTGTAAGAGAGA